AATGGGAGATAACAGGGAATATGTTCACACCAGTTGCAGTGAATTACTTTATTGTTCTTACTTTTCATCTCTCATCTCTCTTTCCTCCTTAGAACTTTCTGTGCTTTCCTTCCGTCCATTCATTCGAAGTTGTTAAGTCCTAGAGAAGACCACATCTACAACATATACTGTGATCGCAGGCTTCGGACTAACGAAGAAGATAAACGGTGGAACGAGTACTTAGCGGATCAAGAGGCCGTGTTCGACCACAAAGGAGTTTTTTCGACCTCAATGGTGAGCAGTCCGTGTCCTTGTCGCACTATCTACTCTCAGTTCTTCTCAAGGTTATGGAGCTGCCATCTCCGTGCAGCTCGTGCTCGCATGCGTGGACCTAGAGGGTCTCTCTACCTTGCACCCTCCCCTTGAAGGAGGAGCTGGAGTGAGCTGCAGTAGGCTTTCGAAAGCCCACGAGCTGCACGGAGATGGCAGCTCCCTAATCTGAGTAGAACCGAGAGTAGATAGTGCGACAAGGACACGGTCTGCTCACCATTGAGGTCGAAGAAACTCCGTTGTGGTCGAACGCGACCTCCTGATTCGCTAAGTACGCGTTCCACCGTTTATCTTCTTCGTTAACCCAAAGCTTGCAATCACAGTAGATGTTGCAGATGTGGTCTCCTCCAGGGCCCTACAATCTAGAGGGAAATGACGAAAGGAAAGTACAGGATGTTCTAAGGAGGAAAGAGAGATAAGAGATAGAAAGGAAGAACAAGAAAGTAATTCACTGCAGCAAGAGTGAGCATATTCCTTGTCATCTCTCTTTCCCCCAGGCAATAATTCACGTACCGGCATGCCGGATCCGACCAGGTCCCAGTTGACGGTCATGGCCTCAATCTTTGTTGCTGTCCCTTTCAGCGTCCATCTCGGAATGCGATGGAGAGAGCAAGAGAGAACCCATAGTAGGGAATACCGGAGACCAGACAACAACATCAAGAAGACCTCGTGCTAATTCATGCTGACATCATACTGACATCATGCTGACATCATGCTACCATCATGACGTACCAACAGCCATCATGCCTGACCTGAGGTGAGCCCCAGAGCCTCCAGTTGCCCCATGAGCAAAAAGGGGCGCTTGGGTTTCAGGTGTAGGGTACATTGGGGTTTAGGGATTCGGGTGCAGGGTACATTAGGGTTTCGGGTGAAGGGTACATTAGGGTTTCGGGTATAGGATTTGCATTAGGGTTTCGAATGTACGGTACATTAGGGTTTCGGGTGTAGGATACATCATACATATCAGCGTACCAGGAGCCGTCATGCCTGACACGAGCCGCAAAGCTTCCAGGCACATGAGCAGAGCCATGGGCACAGCCCCAGACCCATGAGCAGAATGGGGCGCATGGGTTTCGAGTGTAGGGTAGGGCATATCAATATTGAAACCAGATCAGCACCAGACGTACCACCAGCAGCCATCATGCCTGAGGTCAGCCCCACGGCTTATAGGAGCTCCATGAGGAGGAAGGGGCGCTTGAGTTAGGGTGTAAGGGTACATACATCATGCAAAGCTATGCCAGCACCACACCTACCAACAGCCATCATGCTAGACGTGAGCCCCAGAGCCTCCAGCTGCCCCATGAGGAGAAAGGGGCGCTTGGGCAGGGCGAGCATGTCGGGTGTAGGTGACATCAATACAGAACCATATCCAAAAAAGCACCCCGCGTACCAGCAGCCATCATGCCTGCCGTGAGCCCCACGGCTTCTAAGAACCCCATAAGCAGAAAGGGGCGCTTGGGCAGGGCGAGCATGTCAGGTGTGACTATATTGAGGGAGGCGCGGGTGAGGAGGATTATCGAATAGATGGCCACGTAGCTGGAGGGGATAAGGGGGAGAGAGCAGCGAGAAGGGGGGGGGAGGAGGGAAAGGGGCAGGGAGAGCATGTCAGGTCAGGTGTGGCTATGTTGAGAGATATGCGTGTGATAAGGATGATGGCATAGATAGCCACGTAGCTGGAGAGCAGAGCATGGCATGGGAGGGGCAGGGAGAGCATGTCTTGTCGGGTGCGGCTATGTTGCGTAGAGAGATATGCCCTCGGGTGGAGTAGATAGCCAGGTAGCTGAAGGAAAGTAAGACGGGACAGGGGGATCAGAAGGATGCTGGGGGGTGCAGGGGGATGCAGGGGGATGCAGGGGGGTGCAGGGGGATGCAGGGGGATGCAGGGGGGTGCAGGGGGATGCAGGGGGATGCAGGGGGGTGCAGGGGGATGCAGGGAGAAGCAGGGACGGATATGGGAGAGGAGGGTAGTGGCGCTTCAGCAGAAAGAGCATGTTGGGTGTGATTATGATGAGGGGAGGAGGCATGGGTGATAAGGATGATGGAATAGATGTCTGGTCAGGAAGGAGGCGAAAATGCAGGAGAAAGCAGTGCAAGAGAGATGGGAAGAGAGAAAAAGGACAATCAAAGATGACAATCAGGAGCAAGTCTCGTTTGAGCAAAAGAATTCTAGTTTCAAATTTGAGTAAGCCTTTCCATTGAAAGGTGGTGGGCTGAGCAATGGAGGAAGGGAAAGGGCCAAATGTACCGGAATGTCAGTCGGGCACATGAAGTAAGACAAAGGCTCGCATCCAAGTCTTACCTTTCTTGGATGTGGTGGAGGGCTAATTAGAGAGGAAAGGCTTACTCGAATGAGACGACTTTCGAGACGCCTCAAAAGTCGGAATGTCAGTCGGGCATATGAGGCAAGACAAAGGCACACATCCAAGCCTTACCTTTCTTGGCAGTGGAGGGTTAAACCCTAAGCCCAAAACCCTGAATTAGAGAGGAAAGGCTTACCCGAATGTGGTCAGCTGCGCGAGGAAGAAGGGGTAGGGCTTTAAGGGGATGAGGGCGCAAGAAGCATGGCTTGTTACTTGGATGTGGCCTTACATGAGCAGGTCAGTCATATGAGGCGCAAGGCTAGTTTTGAAACGCCTCAAAAAATGTTACTTGGATGTGGCCTCGAATGAGCAGGTGAGACATAGAAGGCGCAAGGCTTACCCGAATGTGGTCAACTGAGCGAGGAAGAAGGGGTAGGGCTTTAAGGGGATGAGGGCGAGCTTGTAGAGCACCCGATTGGCCACTCCCAGGCACACCGCCAGCAGCGCCACTAGTAACAGCTGGTTGGCGGGAAACAGAAGGGGGGGGGTAGAGGAAGAAGCTGGGAGAGGAAGAAGGGGCCGGGCTTCAGGGGCAAGGGGGCAAGGCGATCTTGTAGAGAGGGACGACTCGGTTGGCCACTCCCAGGCACACCGTCAGCAGTGCTGCTAGAAACAGCTGATTGTTGAGGGGAAGGGGTAGAGGGGGCGGGAGGGGACGACGGGGTAGAGGGGACGGGAGGGGACGACGGGGTAGGGCATCAAAGGTATGAGTGTGAGCTTGTAGAGCACCTGGTTTGCCATGCCCAGACACACAGCCAGCAGCACTGCTAGTAACAGCTGGTGATGGGCGGGAAGGAGAAGAGGAAGAGGAGGAGGGAAGGAAACTCGGTTGGCCACCCCCAGGCACACTGCCAGCAGTGCCGCCAGGAGCAGCTGGCGTTGGGGAGAGGGGGGGAGGGAGGGAGGGAGTGGTCAGAGTAGAGAAAGAATGAAGTGAGCGGGTGGAGGTAAAGGGCGCGAGTCTATTTTTTAGGCGCCTCAAAAATAGACTCCTCACGTGGGGGCGAGCTGCGAGCTGCGAGCACTAGGGTTAGTTGCTAGAGCACTCGCTTGGCCAAGCTCAGACACACAGCCAGCAGTGCTGCTAGGGGGAGAAGGATTCGGGGAAAAGTTAGGAGAGGGAGGGAGAGAGTGAAAGATAGGGGGGGAGGGACAGGGGGAGGGGGAGATGAGAAGTGAGACATAGCTGTCGAGCCGTATTTTATGTCAGCAGGGAAGTGAGGAGTCTATTTTTTAGGGGCCTCAAAAGTAGACTCCTCACGTATTTGATGTCAGCAGGGAAGTGAGTGAGAGGTAGGGCGAGACAGTGGGAGGGAGAAAAGGCAGCGTGGGGGGTGAGGGTGGGTTTGGGGGGGAGGGGGAGGGTGGGTGGAGAGAGGGAGGGGGAGGCACCTCTATCCGATGCTGTGGCCGAACCAGAACAGCTGCTTCGTCAACCGCTGCTGCTGCCACTCCTAGGTTCACCTCCCCACCACCACTCTCCCTTATCCCATCCCCCCCTCCCGCTCCTCCTCCCCCCCTTCCACCCTTCCTCCTGCTGCTGCTTCTGCTGCTACTGTTGCCCTGCTGCTCTCACGTCCCGCTGCCAATGGATTTCCTCCACGTGGCAGTCCTGATCCGCTGCCATGAGCACGAGTTAGGAGCCTCGCTTCGCTATTGGTGACGGGAGAGGAGCGCTCTTGTCTGGGTGACACGTGGCGATTTTGGGACGGCATGTGACTGAATCGAGAGTCTGGTATGCGTGTGGCTCTGGTCGCGCCACGTGGCACTACAGCTGGCCTTGGAATTGCCGAGGAAACGGGAGTGGCAAAACAGCGGATGGTAGAGGCAGCAGCAGCATGAGCCATGGGAAGATACGTTGGGTGTCCCCTGATAAAACGGGGGGTAATTGCGAGGGTTCCCCTGATAACACGGGGGGTAATTGCGAGGGGTGTCCCCTGAATTACGGTCCTTCGCCTGGGATGTAAAGGCGGGAGAGATAGAAGGGCCGGGAAGCTGACAGCTCAGTCGAGCGGCGGTTTCGAGCAGAATATCAGGTCAACATATTACCGTTGCGCTTATTCTCTTATATTTCCGCTTATTTTCTCATACGCAGCCTAAGTTGCTAGTAGGTGGTGTCATTCGAAAGCCGCAGCAGCAAGGTTCAGTTGAGAGCCGCAGCTATCGGACGTGGCGATGCTGGGCAGCTGATGCTGCAGGTTGGTTGGTGACGAGACGACCCGTTGTAGCCCACTGGAACTGAGCATTTTGTGCGCGTTATAGGCTGAAATCACGGTTTCGTTTAAATAAGATCATTCACTTGCGTGCTATCACGTATTAGTTCACTGCTTCACATCAAAGTGATCAACCAAGCATGAATCACTTACAAATGTACAATGGGTAATTGGTGTTCAAGGCGTAGCTAGCAGTAATCAGTGGCTGACAGTGAAAACTAACGGTTGATCCCAACCATATGTACTCATCTTAAGACTTGAAATGGTAGCTAATTGCTTGTGACTGTAGATGAGCTGTAACATTTAAACTTTCAACCATGGGCTCTCCTCTGCTGTTGACCATCACCACACACATGCCCCCGTTGTTGACGTCCATGGCTCTGAACCTGGTAGGGAAAGAAACGCAGGGATGGGGAAATGGAATGAGGAACAAGAATGGGGGAAGGGCCACCCATTACCACACACATACCCCCATTGCTGACGTCCATGGCTCAGAACCTGGTAGGGAAAGAAACGGAGGGATGGGGAAACGGAATGAGGAACTGGAACGGGGGGAGGGTCAGTCAACCATTACCATGCACATGCCCCCATTGCTGACGTCCATGGCTCTGAACCTGGCAGGAAATGGAGATGGGGGAAGGGAAGCAGAAAGACGTGTATATTGGGGAAGGGGGGGGCAAACGATGAGAACCGGGCAAGTAACCATCACCACACATGCCCCCACCGTTGACGTCCATGGGCTCTGAACCTGGTAGGAAATTAAAATGGGGAGGGGTGAGACGTGATCAGAGAAAGGAAAGCAGCAAGGAATGGGAGGCAGCAAGGTGAGAAAAGGAAAGCAGAGCAAGATCTTGTGAACGCTGTACTAGACACATATGCAAAACGTTCTGGGTGCAAAATGCTAAAAGTGAGGCATCCTTGTGAGACGTTTTTTCACACAAGGCCCATCTCAAGATTCGGCAGAATCTGAAATCCTGGGCGGGGGATTTCCATAAGCAGTGCCCCGCAAGGCCCCTTCTTCGACAGTGCCTCTTACTTGTCCAGGCCCGTGCCAAGAGCAGTGCAGAGCAGAGCTCGCAGTTTGCGTCAACTCAAAAGGTGTATTTCGAGTTGACTGAAAATCCACATGAGAGAAAGCCTCTTACTTGTCTGGGCCCATGCCAAGAGCGGTGCAGAGCAGAGCTCGCAGAAGGGACTTGTGAGTTACCACCAGTACTTGAGAGCCCTGCTCGGAGGACGGATGGAGGGAAGAGGGAAGGGAGCAGAGGAAGGGCCACGAGCAGGCGGTTAGGGGGCTTGAGAGCGGGGCGCAGGGAAGGGCTCGCAGCAGAGAGTTGTGTGCGACCACCACCAGCAACTATCTGCTGTGACCACCACCACCATCATTTGAGAGCCCTGGAGTCAAAGGAGGAACAAAAACACTGTCGCGAAATGATGACGGGTATGAGTGCAATTTGTTGCTACAGAACAAAGGACACAATATGGTTCCACTTGTTGCAATAAAACACGCTACAGTCACACTCGCTGGGCTCTCCAGCAGCTCTCTCCACGTGTTCTTGGCCTGATCTCACAGCTGGTGCACCAGGCACACCCCATCTACTCCAGAAATAAATAATATTCGTTTTTGCATCACTCACTATAAGTAATAATCCCTACAGTCACACTCACTGGGCTCCCCAGCAGCTCTCTCCACGTGTCCCTGGCCTGATGGCACAGCTGGTGCTCGGGATGCACCCCATCCACACCAGTAATGCTCCATCCCCATCCCCATCCACACCAGTGCAGAAAAAAAAATCTCGATAAAGTAATGCTCACTACAGTAATATTCGATACAGTCACACACACTGGGCCCTCTAGTAGCTCTCTCCATGTGTCTCTGGCCTGATCCCACAGCTGGTGCACCAAGCACACCCCATCCACTTTAGAAGAAAAGATAACTCGATGTAGCACCACTCACTACAGTAACACCCACTACAGTCACACTCACTGGGCTCTCCAGCAGCTCTCTCCACGTGTCCCTGGCCTGGTCCCACAGCTGGTGCACTGGATACACCCATCCACTAAAGAATAAAATGATACTCGCTATAGCACCACTCAGTACAGTGATACTCACTGGGCTCTCTAGCAGCTCTCTCCACGTGTCCCTGGCCTGGTCCCACAGCTGGTGCACCGTACACACCCCATCCACATTGAATCAGAAAGAACTGCTTGATGAAGTACCGCCCACTACAGCAATGTTCGATACAGTCACACTCACTGGGCTCTCTAGCAGCTCTCTCCACGTGTTCCTGGCTTGATCCCACAGCTGGTGCACCAGGCACACCCCATCTACTCTAGAAAGAAACAATACTCGATATAGCACCAGACACTACAGTAATAATCCCTACAGTCACACTCACTGGGCTCTCAAGCAGCTCTCGCCACGTGTCCCTGGCCTGGTCCCACAGCTGGTGCACCGGATACACCCCATCCACACAGAAGTTCGCCGGGTCTTCCCGCCAGGCTCGGAACAGGTCCGGATACAGCCGCTTAGCCTCGGCTGGAGGTTCAGCAGTGAAGGGAAGGGCAGGTCCGATCAGGGGGAGAGAAGCAAGGGAAGAAGAGAGGCAGATGGGTCAGAAGAAGAGCATCCATACCAGAAAGGCTGTGTGACTGGGACTTCATCGGGTAACGGGCCATGCCTCAAGAGAGGTATGAGCCGTGTGATGGCAAGATTTCATGACTATTGGCAGGATGTCCCCACCAATGCTCCGAGGATAGTGCAAACAGCCCCCCCTAAAAAAATATCGTTGTGGCCATAAGTACCAGCAGGAGATCACAGGTATCTTGTAAGAAATATGATATACTCACAGTTGAGCATGCCTTCCAGGAAGTGCAGGTGGGCTTCGCAAAAAAAGGCAAGTATAATCACAGGCATGCACAATGCCTGTATCTTCTACCCTTCAGCCCCTCCCACTGGCACCCCGCCACTCACAGCTGAGCATGCCTTCCAGGAAGTGCAGGTGGGCTTCGCTTAGAGAGTCCAGGAGCACGAGGGTCTCCTTGCGCCCGCCCCAGATGATCTCTGCCGACAAACCCTGCCAAAACCTAGCCCCTCCCCACCAGCACCCCGCCACTCACAGTTGAGCATGCCTTCCAGAAAATGCAGGTGGGCTTCACTTAGAGAGTCCAGGAACACGAGGGGCTCTTTGCGCCCCTGCCAGATGATCTCTGCGCTGCGCTGGTGGGCGCAGGGGGGTAGGGGGGAAATATAGGGGGAGTGGAGGCAACAAATGAGAGGCAGCGCAAGCATGACAGACGGAACAGCAAACGAGAGCTCAGAAACACAAGAGGCTCCTCGCGTTGCGCCTCTCCCAGATTATCTCTGCGCTGTGTTGGTGGGCACAGGGAGTACGGGAGGCGTGTGTGTGTGTGAGGGGGGGGGGGATGTTGAGGGGGAAGCGGGCAACGGATAAAACTGAGGCAAACAGCCCCTGAGACTGCAGAAACGCGAGAGGCTCCTTGCGCCCCTCCCAGATGATCTCTGCGCTGCGCTGGTGGGCACAGGGCGTAAGTGTGGCAGCGGAATGGGCAGAGCAGAAGGGTCTCCGACAGTCAGAAACACCAGAGGCTTCTTGCGCCACTCCCAGATGATCTCAAAACTGCTCTGCTGGGCGCAGGGGATATGGGAAGTGTGGGCGGAGGAAATTAGAGGCACCCCAGAACAGAAGCATCATAGCCAGGAGAGAGCACCCTCATGCACTCCCCTGCACCCCGCCCCCCGCCGCCTGCATCTCATATCCCCAGCCTCTGTCAGAACGGACTCGTCCGACCGGTCCTGGGACTCTACTCTCTCCCCTCCTCGTTCACTGCTCACCTGTACCTCTCCCCATCCCACACTCCTCACCTTAGCCCGCGAGATGGGGCTGGCATAGCAGCAGTCGAAGGGAGAATCCCTCAGCGCCTCTCGGCACCTCAGCGCCTGCACCTCCCCAGTCACCGTCAGACCAGACTCGTCCGACCGGCCCTGCACCCTCCCCTCCGCGTTCCACGAGCTCAGCCCGTGCCGGATCAGCACAATGCGCTTCTGCAGGCCCTTCGCCTTGGCTTTCGACGAAGGGACTAACGGCGTTGTCGCTCCAGCGAAGCCTAGAGAGCCTCCTGTGAGTTCGAGCGACACGGCTTTTGACGAGGTGAGTTGTTCGCCGGCTGAAAAGGTAGCTGTGCCATCGCTGCTGGTGGTGGTGGTTGAGGTGGTGTTGCTTCGGTTTCGGCTGCTGCTGCGCCGTGCTTGCGCCTCTTCTTCTGCTGCTGGTGCTGCTGATGCGGACGCAACAACCACGGGAGCTGCAATGCAAACGGAGAAGCAAGGGAAGGCCACGAGTGTAAGCTCACTCTACCGCGTAAGACTGCTCGTTGTGTAAAAAAACAAAGAAAAGCGCATTCCATACGGGTGTTAACGTTCCAAGGACGTTCGATATGAATATGATTAAAAAATTGGGGTGACTGCTTGTGCGGGTTACCTGGCTGGGACGATGGAGATGCTTCGGCCCGCACAGATGGACGGCCGGATCTGACTGAGCAGACTCGCGTTCGAGATGTTTTCGGAAAGGCAACGAGGGGAGACGAGAGCGAGGTGTTCGCCTGCATAGGATGCAAAGGAAGGGAGATTCAGTATTATAACGAGCAAAATTTGACCACTATAACGAGAAGGGAACAAGATGACAAGATACACGAACCTTTCTTAATGGCTCGGAAGCCTGGCTGGAAGCAGGTAGGGTAACGAGTTGACGGGAAGCGAGTCCAGCCATGGCTGGAACGGAAATATTTGCAGGATAGCTGTGGAAACAAGAAATCTGCCACGAGGTTGTTAATGGCTGAACAAGAAAGCCGTAAAATAGCTCAATAAGCCCTGATGGATGAGTAGCGGAGAAGTGGAGATGAAGATTTTAGTATTACTGTATTGCTGCCCTGGAGAGCCTTTACGTAGATTTCTTGCTGTACTGATTGGTCTGGGAGGGTGGGATTCACTACCAGAATTTGGAAGGACTACTGGAAGGGCTAGAGTTAGATGCACTTCCTGCAGGGTTGAGTTTGAGAAATGAGCCTCGTTTACGATACCAGGGTTATAGATGGTGCAAAACGTCATAGTGCGGTGAGGTGTGGTACAATAATTCGCAGTGGCTCTTCATCAAATCCCCCTGATCTTGCACCTGATGCAACGCGGCCAGCAGAACTCCAAGGCTCGCCCGAACATTGGAGTTTACCCCGCGTTACAGTCACGCTGATACTGTATTGTCTTCGATCTTTCCATGCCACGCCGACACGATTATGCGACCAATCCGTTTCCTTCCTCCCACAGATTCTCCAGCGATACAGGAAGATAGGGGCCGTCATTTTTGGCGTGTATTTGTGGGCATCGGCAGAATGACCGATGCTGGCATCGATCAAGCATCGGTCTGAGACCGATACCCAAGTAGGGTTACATGATTTGTTGAACGAGCGAACTCTCACGGAAACACATTGAAAGTTGAGAGCGAAAATGTTACCTTTTTTCGTCACTGTGCGAGGCGAGGCGGGGTGTATGCTGCACAAGTGGTGATCGAGCTTGAATCGATACCCACGTGCACTAAAATGACGCGCCCTAATGCACCTTCAGAACTGTATTTCACCTGATACAGTCTACACTGCAATTTCTTTTGGTCAGGAAGTGGGTATAGAACTTATATGGAGTACAGCCCACCCCTCAGCAGCAGCCTTCAGCACCAGAAAGGGATGCTCTGATCAGGAGAAACTTGGACTTGTCTTCGGTGGCCAATACTCCATGGTTCATGCTCCTGTGGCTGATCAACTTGGGTCGGGGCTGTTTGAGGTAGCCGCTACTGCGATGTACGGGATCCTGTCCGCCTAGTTACAACCCGCGGTTTTCGTTTTATCAACTAGCCGCAGTAGTGTACACCTTCCGTTCGTTCCTGTCAATCAATCGCCTCTTTGCAGCTCGATTTGTCTCTAGTAGCCTCAGTGTCTGAGTTGTATGAGTCAACCGACCTTTTTAGTCCTAGCAGTCCTCTCATCTCGATCGCAGAGAAGCCGCACTACAGGCCTTTAAATCGCAGGGTGCTCGCAACTTCAGGCTTCTAAGACGAGGCGCGTGTAGGGTACACGTGAGCATCTGAATTTCGAATCGTAGGGGACCACCTCAGCATCGGATTTCTGAATCGTGGGGTACACCTCAGCATCTGAATTCTGATTCTTAGGTGACTATGTTGTCCACTTTAAGACGAGGAGCGTTGCAGCTCGCTAAGAGGCCGGCCGGTATGGTCGGAGCGCTCGTGCTGGGAAGCCTGGGTGCCGGCGGAGCGGCTGTCGCCGTGACAGACGGCGGCCTGAAGACGGACAGCCGGCATGTTAAGCGGCTGGTGCTTAGTGCCGATGGGATTGTCCGATCGTCAAGAGCCGTTGGAACGGTGAGAGAGGAGAGGAGAGCCGTCCGATCCCAAGCCAGTAGCTCGATTCACAGAGAGCAGAGAGCGGATGGAGTGTTGGAAAGGGGTTTCTTTTGCAACCTGACCTGTTCACTGTGTTCCTCGTTCGCTCCGTTTCCCTCCCGTCCGCAGTTCGCTATAAACAGCATCGACTACAAGGTGTCAGCGGTGGCAAATTCTCTTGACAGGCTGAAGAAGGAAGCGCCAGCAGAATACGCGCGAATACGGTCAGAGGTGAGCCACCTTCTACTGAGCGTTGTTCAGTGAGGTCCCGAGACTTCCCAAAACCCGATTATTACCACAATGTGTCGATGGTAGCGAACTCTCTGGATAGGCTCAAGAAGGAAGCGGCGGCAGAATACGCGAGAATACGGTAGGAGGTGAGTCGCGTTTCCCTTGTTTGGCTCCCCAGCCAGCCGGTCCCCATGGTAGCTTCGATCAATGGCATTCGCGACCAGTCACCAGAACGCTTAGGCAAAGAATATTGATTCTTTAGACCGAGAGAGGTATGAAATGGCTGCAGCAGTTGGATAAAGAAACGGCCACTGGAACTATCCATCCCTCGGCCCCTTGTTCAGGCCCACAGCGATGAGCTGAGGAGCGGCCAGCCGGCAAGTTTCTGGGCTTTTGCAAGGCTAAAAAGCGCTGTCGATTTCTCCAGTTGAAATTCTTCTGTTGTCTTCCTGCTCCCCTCAGATCCACCAGCGAAGTGCGGACAGGATCCTGCGGCTGTGTGAGGCGAATCGGGGCATCTACATCAAGGCGGGGCAGTTCATTGCAACGCTGCAGCAGCTGCCTCGGGAATACCGCACGACCCTCACCGTGCTGCAGGACCAGGTGGGCTGAACTGAACGAGGGATGAGGTGGGGTAAGGGTGATAGGGGGTTTGCGAGCCATTGTGCAGCATCTCCATCAAGGCGGGGCAGTTCATCGCAACGCTACAGCAGCTGCCCCGGGAATACCGCACAACCCTCACTGTGCTGCAGGATCAGGTGGGCTGAAGGATACGGTGGGGTACGAAGGATTGGGGGAAAGGGGTTGGGAGGCTGTGTGGGATCTACATCAAGGCGGGGCAGTTCACTATAGAGGATGGGATGCCAATAGAGGGGATGGGACTGGCGATGCTGCCTCATGAAAAGAGCCACTGCGGTTTTAACGCCTCGCTACCCACTGGGTAAAACGAGAATTAACAGAGGTTGCCGCGGAATTGCGTGTGTGCATTAGTGGTAAAAAGCCACTGTAACACCGCAACCACACGATGCAGAGACGTTTTAGGGTCTGGAAGATAAAAAACGACCAAAAAACACCCATCTCTTACTTCGCCATCGTGAACGCGAAGCTCCCATCCGCAACTCCAGTTTCACTGTCAGGTGCGGTGAGCAAGGATTTCAGGTGCTCTACTTCTATGGACCCACCGCCAGCGTGCTCGAGCAACGAAAATCAAGTTATGAGGATTAAGCTCAAGTACCAAGTTGACACTAATGAAGGCTCGCCAGGGATTTCCCTGCAGTCGATACATGTTTGTCCCATGTTACCTTCGCTGTTAATAGAAGAGCTCCTGATTTCCTAATACTCTTAGTTACCTAAGCAAGAGCATGTTCACACTGTCTTTCCTACTTGCTAAACCGTCTTCCTAACCGCGCTCACTGGAATCATGTCCGGAGATTTGCTCTGGGACTTGGGCTTTAATCCTCATAACTTGATCTTTGTTGGTCCAGCACGCTAGCGGTGGTTCCATAAAAGTGGAGCACCTGGAATCCTCGCTCACCGCACCTGGCGGTGAAAGCAGAGTTGTGGATAGGAGCTTCGTGTTCACGATGGCAAAGTAGGAGATAGGTGCTTTTGGGCATGTTTTCACCTTCCAGACCCTAAAACGTCTCTGCATCGTGCAGTTGGGGTGTTATAGTGGCTTTTACCAGTGTTACCACTGAAGCGTTCCTTAGATGTACACACGGAATTCTGCTGCGACCTCTGTTAATTCTCGTTTTAACAAGTAGCAGGTAACGAGACGTTATAACCGCAGTGACTCAAAAGTCATGGTGTGTGCCAATACCGCACCCTCACTCACTCAGGACCTGGTATCATCAGGTAAAGGTAGAATACAGAATAGGGGATGCAAATAGTGGGGATGGGAGTGCTGATGCTGTTTTTTGGGATACTGTGCTACGCCTGCTGCTATGCGGGCAGGAGCGTTGCAGCATCCCCAACCTGCGTTACAGTTAGCGCCTTGGCTCGGCAGTATCCAAGCATTGGATTTCAAGCTCGTAGGGAAACTGCGCCACGCTTGCTGTGCTGCCATTCACCCTCCTCCAACACCTCCTTTCACCCTCGAGTTCCCTCCCCATCTGCTATGGCTGATCTGTGCTCTGCAGGCTCGCGGTCGGCCCTTCAATGTTATTGACCGGGTTTTTAAGGAGGAATTCGGAAAGAGTGCGAAGGAGATGTGAGTATTACAAAGGCCTTGTGTCTGCTGCTGCAGAAAGAATGCCTTGTGTCCTCCCGGTTTTTTCGATTGCATTCCAAATTCGTTCTCCACACTCGAGCTGTGGGCTCTGAGATGATTCAGTAAAACCCGATGCCTGTCTGTCTGTCTGTCTGTCGCGGTGCCCCAATGTCTCCCTCTGTTTTCCTCCCCGCGGTGTTGCGCTGACCTTGCTCAGCTTGGAAAGAAGGCCATTGTGATGGAAATCTTTAACCCAAACTCCACAATCCTCTTTGTGTCGGCTCCTCTCCCCTCCCCTCCCCCCCCCCCTTCTGTTTCTTTTTAACACTTCCACTCTTACAGCTTTGTGCATTTTGAGGAGGAGGCCATAGCAGCGGCATCGCTGGCTCAGGTGCATCGAGCAACACTGCCTTCAGGGCAGGAAGTGGCTGTGAAGGTGGGTGCCCTCTCTTACTGTATGGTTACTTGGTTTGGGCATGTGATGCATCATGCATGTGATGCATGTGTGTGTGCTTCACGAGTGAAACGAGGTGGTGCTGTGTACGAGCGCGTTTCACCCAAGCACCTTCATACAATCACCTTCACCCAAGCGATGCATGTGATGCACCTTCTCCAGCCTCTCCTCCTGGAGGCCTGGCCTCCACCACACTCTCGCGGCCCGTCTGGAGGAGCAGGCGGCAACGGACATTCCACCACATACACACAAGCACTCACCCACCCTCACACACGCACACTCTTTCCCACTCTCCCCCTCTCACGTGCAGTACCCCCGCCTGGAGGAGCAAGTGGCCACGGACATCTCCACCATGGGCTTCCTCTCCCGGGCTCTCAACTCTCTCTCTGCGTGCCCCCATCCCCTTATCCCCTTTCTCCCTCACTATCGCCCTCTCAGGTGCAGTACCCGCGCCTGGAGGAGCAGGTAGCCACGGACATCTCCACCATGGGCTTCCTGTCCCGAGCTATCTGCTCCCTCTCTCCCCCCCATCCCCTGCCTTTCACTCTCACATGCATTCGCTCTCTGTCTCTCCCACCCCCCCCCTCTCAGGTGCAGTACCCGCGCCTGGAGGAGCAAGTGGCCACGGACATCTCCACCATGGGCTTCCTCT